AGAGAAAGGAAAACTTGAAATCGCATCATATGACCCCTTTAAAGTCCAAAACCTGACTTGAAATAACCTAACAAATCAGTCGGGGCTAAAGCGGTTCCATTAACGACAAATTAAATTCACACAATCTCACTAATTTGTGCACGCTTATTCGTAAACAGACCTTAATGTCGATCATGGATCAAATAGATCCACCATCGCAAACAGCGAATATATCTGTGCTGTTTAATGCATTTGAGACGTTGTGTTTTCCTCAGTGCATAACTGACATGTCACAGGTATATTTTTCATCTGTAAATGTTAGAAAGTCATGCAAACATATCCATTTTGCTGTCAGGAGTGGGCGAGGCACGCGAGAGCAACGAGCGCTGCTGCGCGCATGCACGCTATACAGACAGAGCGCAATCGAATAGTAGAGCAATAATTCTGAGTAAAATATACATTATTTTTTTGAATTTTAAACCTACATATAAAGTCTATTTTTATGATAGCAGTAACTGTAAGTGGGGGGAGAAGAAAAACCTGAGCCCATTAACTTGCCATAAACATTAAGACCATTTTAAACAGTCATTGGATTTGAGGGTATTAGCAGACAGAAAAATAAGCACTTTACTGTACGATCACTCTATTGAGCAGGTGAATATGGAGAGGTGTGTTATGCAGATTTATTTAAGGATTGTGCTGATGTCATGACGAGAAGGGAGGAAATGATTATGAAATTATGGAAACGTGGCCCTGAAACATTGTGAAAAACAACTTTAAATGAATTTAAATTCCAGGCATTGTAGGTTGAAGTGAACCTACTGAAGATTTTCTACAATTTGTGTTTAATTATCAATATATTAATGTTGCTTTACATTAATATCACTAACCTTTTTAACTGTAAAAGCTCTCTGAGGAAAATGTCATTATAAATTAATAACATTAACATTATAAATCTTAACAGATTGTTAGTACATATTCATATTTATTCATATATTCAAATTGGAATGTACATTAGTGACCTGATTAATAGCTATGTTATATTTAATGATTTAACAATTAGCAAACCACATCATAAAGTTTTACTACCATCTGTTTGCTGTCAAGGGCGCACGTATATTTATGTACAGTAGCTGTTCCATAAACTGTTCAGTATTTTCATGCTGCTGTAATTATTATTGTAGTGTTTTTGAAGGAGTGTATTTGTGTTTGTACAGTTCGTGAGCTGCAAGAGGTGAAAGAAGACTTGGACGTAGACCCAGAGGAGAACAGTGCAGAGTTCATGGGGATCCTGATCAAAGCTCTGGCCAAACTCAAGAAGATCCCGGAAACCATTAAAGCCATCATGGAGCGACTGGAGCCTGAGCTCAAGCAGATCCTCAAGAGATCCACCACTCAGATCGCTGACCACGCTTACCAGAGAGGAGAGAACCTGGCACAGGACAAGCAGCCCAGGTAAAAGCAAATGGAAAGATGGAGCTAGTAGCGTCAATTAAAATGCGCAGTCTGCAGGGAATATAAATAATCAAAGTCATATGCCATACAACTGTTTCTTAGTTTATTGATTGATTTTTTGATTTACAGAATACTATATGATAATTAAGATAAGCAGACAAGCACAAAAAAGCATAATTTTTTATTTTATTTTATTATTATTTTTTGTTTAACAAATTAAAGGGATAGTTCTCTCAAAAATTAAAGTGTAATCTCAGGTGATATTATACTAGTCTCGCGAGAACCAAGTTTTGTGTACAGCAAAGGAAAACCAGTCTCCTCTTGGCTTATATCGGAATCCTCTGTCTTTTTTTTTTTTTTTTTAACAAATCCTCGTTTTGTATTTTTTAATTTGTGACCGGTGTTTTGTTTTGCTCTCATCTGTGCTTCTGCGTTCGCAACTTCTCACCGGAGCTTACGGTATAGAATGACTATGTCCTACGTCATCCGCTGGAACGCCGCTGTCTCATGAACTGAAAGCTAAAGATTACTGTTTATAAAGTTTTGAATATGGATATTTTTCTTGCACAAATGCATTTATTCACTTCAGAAGGCCTTTATTCACCCCCCCGGAGGTGAGTGGAGTACTTTTCTATCACGGATGAACAGTTTATTTTGGTTCAAAATAAACTGTGTTCATCCATCATAAAAAAGTTTATTTTGGTTCAAATCCCCATTCACTGCCTTTATAAAGTTTGGAAGAGCCAGGACATTTTTTAATATAACTCTGATTGTATTCAGTCATATACACCTAGGATGGCTTGAGGGTGAGTAAATCATGAGGTAAGCTTTATCTTTGGGTGAACTGTCCCTTTAAGACATTTAATTCAAACAGCAAATGAATGCATTTCCACAAATGAACACTGGGAAAAGTGTTTGTGAGTCTGAAATTCATGTTTTGTTTTGTCAAGACATCAAAAAACATTTGTGAATCTTATTGCATATTTCCAAATCTTTTTATTTCTGAATTTATTTATGAACAAGTACCACAACACAAATATGCACAGCCATACTCAATAGTTGCTCAATGGCTGATTGCTTAAAGCATCCATAGTTTTTACTTGAGACATTTGCAATTCTTTTAACGTGATATATTTCCTAATGCAACTGCATAACGTAAGGCAAGACTGGATTTTATCACCTGGCTCTTGATTTATTATTATTATTATGACCAGTTGGCTCTTGAAGATTATTAAAACAAATGTATTTACATTAACATGCACTAACAAATCATGCGAAGGGAGAGAATCATTTAGAAGTAAATGGGGTCAGTTTTGATTTCATGTTGTCCTTTAAATGATGTAGGAAATAAAAACTGCCAATGACAGTCACTTCAGATGTAGTTCTCCCTCTTGCAGTGGTTTTGTTTTTAAGGGAAGCACTTTGGAAGGCATTTGTACTGAAGTGTGATTGGTTTCCATTGTTTTCCTTCTTTATTGCGCTCTCTCACTTTAGCCGATGATGGCTTGCTGGATCAATGCTCTCATCTGTCATGTGGCATTCATACCTCCCTCATTTCCAGAAATGGTGTAATCCATAAAAGCGAGCCGTGGCCTGTGTCTGCTTAAGCATCGGCTCTAACGGAGAAAAACAAAAAGTATGAAAAGTATGTCTTATGTTTCCTAGTCAGACTTGATATGACAAGGATTGTAGTGACTTTATCAGATCATATTATACAGAGACTTTTATATTATATTATATTGTTGATATGTGTGTGTTTGTGATTCTAACCACATAAGAGCATTCATTCGTTCATTCTTTATTTCTTCCTTTTTGTTCATTTTCCCATTTATTTATTTGTTTGTTTATCATTCACTTTCATTCATTCTTCCTTTTTGTTATTTATTTATTCTTTCTATTTTTTTCTTTTTTTATATATATTTTATTTATTCTTCCTGTTTTTTTCTCCCTTTAATTTATTTATCTTCCCTTTATTTATTTATTTATTTGTTTATTTATTTATTTTCCCATTCATTCATTCATTCATTCCTCTTTTTTCCTCCCTGTAATTTATTTTTATTCTTATTTATTTATTTATTTTTCCTCTTTTCTTTAAATATTTGTTAAATTTAATATTTTTTTATATTTCTTTAAAATGTTAATTTTTAAATATTTATTTATTCTTCGTCTGTTTTCTTTTTTTCCTCCCTTTAATTGATTTTCTTCCTATTCATTCATTCATTCATTCATTCTTTTTCTCCCTTTAATTTATTTTTCTTCCCTTTATTTATTTATTTCATTCTTTCATTCATTCTTCCTCTTTTTTCCTCCCTTTAATTTATTTGTCTTCCCATTTATTTATTTATTTATTTATTTATCTATCTATCTTATTTTTCTTCTCTTTTATTTTTATGATGTATAAGAATAGTCCGAATATGGCCATCGATGGAGAAAGATGCTTTTTAGAGCCAGACAGTGTAGTTGCGACATTGACCAACTAGCCCATGCTAACCAGCCAAACCTTGACCGCTTGGTTCATGCTTTGGTTTGGCTTTCTGCAATGTTTGTATGAAAAAGTGTCATCCCGTATAATATGTGTTTACATGTTGAGTCTAAGTCAAGGGTCATGTCCTGTCCTCTGTAATTCAAGCTTAACATGTGTTATCATTCACCGTCCCTCATGTGAACATCCATCATCTCCCTGCCGTCCACCTCCCTGCAATCCTAATACCCTACATCATGCTATCACCTCCAACCTCTTCATTCCGCCTACCAGTGTTTTCTTCTGCCTCATTTTGCTGGGACGAATGAGTAAACTCCATAAAAGTCAGACAGATGTGTGTCCTCCTAGTGGACCCAGAGAGTTTGACAGATGCTGCTAATTGTTGTTGGTGAACAGCTGCCGCTGCTCAACAGGGAGATTCTGTCAGCACCCTGCTGCTGTCATGTTCATTAGTAACAGAGAATGGACCTCTTTTGGCTCGGTTTTGGTGATGTAGAGGGATTTCTGACAGCCAGACTGACTGCAGTAGTGGCTTTGTCTTTGGAAAGCTTCTAGATTAGGAGTTTCAAACTGGGGTCCAGGGACCCCTAGGGGCCACAAGGGGGTGCTGGGGGTTCTGCAAACAAACAGACAAATAAAAAAGGTTAGCACAATGTATATTTTAGGGCTGATAAAGTTAACATGTCAACTCAAAACTTAAAAACCCTATTACTAATAATTAATATGATTAATGACATATTTGAAATGCATGTGTCGAATGTGATACTGTTACAGCTTCATTGCGCTTTATGAAAACTGGTTAAAAAAAATCAAGAAATAATTTGTGATTGTTATTTTATTGATAGTCCAATTGTTTATTGTTAAAATGTTTATGTATTTAAAATATCCACAATATACTTTCAGGAGTAGTTTGTTTTTTGTTTGTTTCTCCCTGTCATTTCTGCATTTTAGCCAGATAATATTTTTTCCTTTAGCTTTAGTACAATAACAGTATATTCAAAGCATTTATTAAATCAATGATTATTTTTTTAGATCCATTTTGAAGTGTTGTTTTTTTCTCTCTCTATCGCCCTCTTCAGGTTGTTGCTGGAACTGCTTGAGCTGTTGTTTGATAAGTTGAACGCCGTGGCCCAGGCTCACAGTGTGGTTCTCAGTCACCTACAGCAGATTGTCGTCTCTCGCAATGGAGCCCAAGAAGGGATCAAACTCTATGAACAGGCTGATGTCTATGCCAAGATCCAGACCGTCCTACAGGTCAGTCCCCGCAGAGTCATTCAATAAAGCAGATCTAGGTCATTGGATGATATATTTGGAATCTAAAATATTGCAGTGAAATAATGCAATATGTTAAAGTGGATTTTGCTAGAAGCTATTTTGACTACCTAGCAATACCCTAGTCACCACATAGCAATGTATTAGAAACAATTCAAAGCACCTTCTTTAACATATTATTCATAGCAACTCCTTAGCCACAACGTCGTGCTGTGGCTTTCAGTCTTTCAAGCCGATATTCAAAGCAGATTCATGCTATTAACTGTTATTTACAGGTAACTGTATGGTCAATTACTAATAAACAGAGGGTTTGTTTACAGTTATTAGCTGTTTCTTGTGTCTTTTCTATTAAAGGGTTAGTTCACCCAAAAATGAAAATTAGGCCATAAATTACTCACCCTCAAGGCATCCTAGGTGACTTTCTTCTTTCAGACGAATCCAGTCGGAATTATATTAAAAACGTCATACGTCATCCTCCCGGAACTGCTTCCGTGTACAACTGTTGCTGCAAGCTAGATTAAAGTGATTATTACGTTTTGAATATGGATATTTTTTTTACAAAAACGCATCGATTCGCTACAGGAGGCCTTTGTTCACCCCCCGGAGCCGTGTGAGAGTTTTTTTTTATACTGACTGCCATTAAACAGCTTGAAAGATCTTAAAGGGATAGTTCACCCGAAAATTCTGTCATTAATTACTCACCCTCATGTCGTTTCAATCCCATAAGACCTTCGTTCATCTTCGGAACACAAATCAGGATATTTTTGATTGAATCTGAAAGCTGTCTGACCCTGCATAGACAGCAATACAACCCCTGGATAATCACATGGATTATTTTACCGATCTCCTTGCTACGTTTCTGGACTTGGGAACATTTCAGTTGTATTGCTGTCTATGCAGGGTCAGACAGCTCTCAGATTCCATCAAAAATATCTTAATTTGTGTTCCGAAGATGGACTAAGGTCTTACGGGTTTGAAACGACATGAGGGTGAGTAATTAATGACAGAATTTTTATTTTTAGGTGAACTATCCCTTTAAGACTGTACAAGTGGAGAAAGAATGTGTGACTGAAGTTTTGGGAATAATCTACTTAAGCTCATCCCAAGTGTCATGTTTAATTGGGAGTGTGTTAATTGGAAAATGTTGACTTTTTAGTGTGCATGTGTGTTTTGAGGCAGGTGAGATTGCCAGCTGTTAATGTAACCTTTGAAAATCTCTCAAGAGGCCCAACATTGTGTCAGACATTTGTGTGTTTTTTTTTTAAAAGCACCTGCTGGAAATCCTGTTGCAGGGTTTTGTCTCATGTGATGCGTATGTTTATTTTTGATTTTTTTGTGCTTAACTTTGTTTTGTGCTTTGTTTTGTTTTATGTTTTGTATTTTATGTGTGTTGTTTTACTTTGCTTTGCTTTGTTGTGTTTTGTTTTGTGCTTTGCTTTGCTTTGGGGGGAGGGGCTGGGGCTGGGCTGGCGATGAGGTCACTAGAGGGCGTTCTCACGTTGACAGCGAATCAGTTCTCTTGCCGCTAAATACAAACATTTTGGAAGCAAAAGACTAAATATAATATAAATATAAATTGAATCCGTACATAAAACCAAAAATGAATGATGACGGCAAGGATCAGCCTCATTTCCATCACTGCTGAGCTGAGAGGAGAACGATCACATGAGCTCTGTCTTCTTTCCCATTGGCTGTCGCTCCCGAAAGTCACTCTTAATTTACATAAAGTTGAAGGATTCTGAACTTTGATGCATCGCTGGACACGCCCCATCCGTCGCCAACGGCCGCTGTCGCTCGTGTCGCCGGAAATCGCCAGCTTTCCATTGAAATGAATGGGATCATGTCGCTTTGTCGTTGCGTGTCGCTTGTAGTGCGAACGCGGCTTTACGCCAGTCTTCTTTGATTCAAGTGCCAATTTAGATTCAATATTCGCTAAATTCACAAGATCAGTGTGACAATCTTACATCATATCTTGTTTTTCCCCTTAATAGTAACCGTAAATGGAGAATTGTTCTTCTGCTGGCTTTTACAATGTTGATTCGCATCTATCTAGAATTATTTTCTCAAGCAATTTTAAAACCGCTTTAGGTACAGATGGTCAAACTAATTGAAAGTTCAGATTCAAAGACGTTGTAAAAATTAGACCTCATAACCTATTCATGTTCATATTATCCTCTGTATTCACTGTTTTTCTTCCCTTAAAGAATTCCATCTCTTGACATTCTCTCTCTCTCTCTCCCCGAATCTCATTCCAAGTGTGCTCTTTCAGAGCATTGTTTTTCAGCTGCATGCTAGAGAGGATCCAGTTGTATAGACAGGCATCAGAAGGAGGGAGAGAAAGAGAGATGGGAGTGGAGGTACAGTTGGGGAATGAGTAAATGGGTTTGTCATCACTCCATCAAACAAGGTGAAGAGTCAGACTGTGACCTTGTACTTTCCTCCTGTCTTTTTTTTTACTCCTCCTTTCAAAGCAGTCTGCAGAGAGCTGTAACGAAAGAACAAGCTTGGCCCTGCCAACTGTTGCTAAGGCCCTGCTGAGCTCTTCGTAGACCTTAAGTAACGAGGAGCATCTTCCCGAGAGTTGACTACAGAAGTCAAAATATGCATTTAACTGCAGTGTGATGAGGAGTTTGACTGTGTGTGTGTACTGCCTCTTTTTTCAGCATTCATTAGCACAAGCACCTCACACCCTAGCTAGCAACAGATTAAATTGTTTATTTTGAGCCTTTGCTTCAGCTTGTAGACCTGTAGAGGTCTAGAATGAATATGACTTTAAATGAAAACACACGCACACACACACACACACATATATACATATATAAATATACATAAATATGTTGATCAAAAGTTTGGGGTTGGTAAGATTTTTATGCCCACCAAGGCTGCATTTATTTGATCTAAAAATACAGTAACACAGTAATATTGTGAAATATTATTACAATTTTAAATAACTGTTTTCTATTTTAATATGTTATAATAATTTATTCATGTGATGGCAAAGCTGAATTTTCAGCATCATTACTCCAGTCTTTAGTGTCAATAATTGCTGATTTGGTGCTCAAGAAACATTTCTCATTATTATCAATGCTAAAAACAGTTTTACTGTGTAATAACTGTAAATTGTGATACGTTTTTTGTTCAGAAATCTATGATGAACGAAAAGTAAAAAAAAAATATTATTCAAATATAAATATTTTGTAATATTATTTACAAAAGTGGCTTTACTGTCACTTTTGATCAATTTAATGTGTGCTTACTAAATAAAAGTATTAATTTCTTAAAATAAATCTTACTGTCTCCCAAACTTTGGAATGGTAGTGTATATTGGATGACCAATAGACAATAATTCTAATGAGTTGGTTGGATTTAGGGCCACAAACTTAAATAATCAGGTGGTCAAAATTAAGCAAAGACAAAAAACTTAAGGCCACAGGATGGGGAAGTGTTCCTACAGCACACACAGCCATCCTGGCTTTGCTAAAATAATTCATTAAGGTAGATGAGGTTTTCCTAATCATTTGTGTTTTTTCTCTCCTCCTGATGCATCTTTTTGAAGTATCATCTGTTCTCTTTTTCCCTTCTCCTGACTGCGACAGCATTTTGTCAGTTCAGACTGGTCCACATGTTCAAATATAGACACTTCCCCTGGCTTTCCAGGGGAAGCCAAGTTTCCAGCCAAGTTTTCTCTGTTCCCGTGGGAGACAGGAATCACATTGACCTTTCCATTACACTGAAGACATGAAGGCCATGGACAGATGGACCTGAGACTCAAGAGACTTTATAATCTTTATTCTTTCACTTCCTGACTCTTTGAACTGTGGCTAGGCCATTTTTGAAAACCGGAGAGCAAAAGTCTGATATTGTTAGAGTCCATATTGAGCTTGTAAACCTAGTACGTAAAAGGCCATGCAGAGATTTTTAGGAGTGTGTAGAGTAAATAGTTATTGACTTTTGGAGTTGCCGTTGACTGAAATGTTTGCCACTGACAGACCAGTCCTGAATTTGTCCTACATCATTTTATCCCTTTAAATACCACAGAAGAACGGACAAAACTGGCAGTAGTAGTTATAGATATAGTTTTTATAATGTGTTCTTAAAGGCAGGGTATGTGATTTTTCAAAAACACTTTAGAAAACTGATTCGGGCCGAATAGCAAAACAAACTTGTAGCCAATCAGCAATAAGGGGCGTGTCTACTCGTGATGTGTCAGAAATGGCAAGGAATAATTTAGACGGACATTAGCCAAGCCGAGCGACAGAAAGATAGAGATGGCGGATAAAAAAACAAAAGAGGAAAACGTCTGCGGAAAGATAAGGCAAGAAGTAGGACCCGTGTAAAATATTGGATCAGCTTTCCAGTGCTGGAGAGAACTCAAGGAGCGGAGGCCTGCGATCGGACGCCGAGGTTGCTTTGTTTCTTCTCAATAGGTGAGTAACACCGTGTCTACAACAGCTAAAGTCTGCCTACACTGGATGCGTTCAAACGACCGTTGAAAACCATTTGAAATTTGTGTCAGCACGTCATAAATAGAACCCGGCAGCAGTTTTCTGTCGGGGATTTGTTGCGCCGCGCCGCTCACGTCCGTAGAAACGGTGTAACATTGGTTTTGCTTTGTTTCACAGAACTAATCGTTGCCTGGGTTGCGTACGTATATGTGGGGCGGAGCTATCAAAATAGGGGCAAGACTCTTTTGGGGTAGGGGCGTGTTTGTTTTGGTGATTTCAAATATCAACATTGGCTACCAGAAATCGCTTACTCTGCCTTTAATGTAATTCTGTCATCCCAGTAGATATTGGTATTGATATTGAATTTATTTAAATTTTTGATAGTTTTTTTTTAACCAATGCTGAATTATTGATTTTTTGATATGTTTTGATCATGTTTTCTTAAAGTAAACTTTTTAGTCCCGGTATTAAAGAGATCTTTGAGTTTGATTTTTGACATTGACAAGATATACATTTTTATTTAATTGGCTGTTGACT